TATATATATCGCCTCCATGGAAAGCTAAAGATTTTGAGGGATGAAGGTTAATTGTGTATGTGTATTTGTCTGCTCTGTATTCGAGATCGACACACTCGTGGTACTCCCAGAATCAACACAACCGCAGAAAATTGCATCAACTGAATGTATTTGGTAGTTAAGCGATACAACGTCGTGAACTAGGTTGTTGAATACCTTTATTGTACTAGTTAGACATACACTCATAGCGATGTATCATATATCTACAGTGTTGAGTGTTACTTTTATTATTATTTGCGCATACGCTCACAGAGATGCATTTTACAACTCTTTCGGTTATATTCCTTCCACAGAACAAACGCGACCGTATGAACGGCGATTTCCGGGGAATCAAAAGTCAGTACGACAGTGCCATGTCAGCCATCAAAAATAGCTTGGACGTATGTTTGTATATAGTACAACATAGACGTATGCTAGTATATAGCACAAACTTGAGACATGTTGGTATATGCAGAACATGGAACGTACGATCGGATATATGTACACAAAATGGACGTATGTCAGTATATAATACAACTTAAACGTATGGTAGTATATCACACAACCTAAATGTATGGTAGTATATGTATAACATGGACGTTGGATAGTATATATGTACGTAACATGGGCGGATGTTAGTATATAACACAACATAGACGTATGCCAGTATATGGCACAACTTAGATGTATGGTAGCATATGCGCAATATAAACGTATGATAGTATATATGTACTTAGATGGACGTATGTACAACATAGACGTATGATAGTATATATGTACTTAGATGGACGTATGTACAACATGGACGTATGTTATTAGATAATACAACATAGACGTATGATAGTATATAACACAACTTAAACTTTTGATAGTATATGCACAATATGGACGTATAATAGTATATATGTATGTAACATGGACGTATGTTAGCATATGTACAGCATGGACGTATGTTATAAAGTAATCGAACATAAGCGTATGCTAGTTTACACGCAACTTAGGCGTTTGTTAGTATATATACAACATGGTCGTATGGTAGTACATATCATAGCATGAACACGGTTATGGCAGAATACGTTCACTGTGTGAGTGAGTTTATTTCACAGAATATCAGGATGTATAGTGATGCGTGATATGATTCACGAGTTATCCCTCATACATATGTAGTTATGTGATAGGAGTGATCAATAACTGTCATTTGGTAATACCAGAAACGATACAGCGGATTGCATCACTGTCCGTTTGTACGCTTCGACAGAATGGTGAAGATTCTCATAGTCCTTTCCTCTGGGTGTGTCCAGTGATCACAATTCAAGTGTATGTTTGGCCGTAAATTAACACTAGGTAGTTACCATCACTATGTATTTGGATGTATGCCATTGCCGTGAAAAATCTTCTTCTCACTGTCCAAACCATCCTTGTCCTACTATCTGTTTGTTCCAGTTTAGTTATACTGTCAGGCGCTAGTGCCCATCAAATTCAGAGTCTGCTGACGCAGAACACATACAGGTTTTTCAATCTGATTCGGCTGAATTGTCGTATTGTCATATGGTCTATTAGTCTGATCTCTCAAGTGTCTAAATGTCGGATTTTTCTATATGGGACTGCAGGTGTGGGGTGCTGGTGCACATCAAGTCCAGAGACTTTTGGAGAAAAACAAGCACAAGTTCTCTAGACCACCCATAGGACCCCTGGGCCAATACGTGAAGTTATTAGGTATGTATGAGTACAATGCTGTTCTGAACATGCATCGTTATTTTGCTTCTTATTGCACCTCAAGATGGTATCATAGAATGCTTTTCAGTAGCAATGTGCAAAAGTCATCTGGAACATGCATGGTGTTTCCATTTGTGCATCTCATGATGAAAGGTGAGGTTCAGACATAGGTATTGCACATTCTTAAAGTCTACGTATTGACAAACGCTCTCAGCATTGTTTAGAAGAATCTCACTTCTGCGAAATGTGCAAATGGTGAGCGTGCCTCTCACGACAACCCAAACCCTTTTTTATACTCGAACTAAATATGTCTAAACCTAGCCAGTCTCTACCGACTCTGCAAGTATATCTTTGTTGCTAGATCTCATATCTATATATACCGACGTATGTAGATATGTAGTAAGCCATACCGATTCCAAGTTACCTTCAATTGAAACGCTGCCCGCACAGTGTGTAGTCGAATGTATGCCAATACATAGCCCGTGAGCATATCAGTGTTGATAATATTAGAGTATGCATTGCTACGGCCTGATATTTGCCCATACCAATGCACTTCAATGTATTTATATCTGTTTATGTACTTCACTGTCCTGAAAGTAGTCTATCGCTTTGGGTGTGTACTGAGATGCTAGGTTAGCCATGGACGCACGGCTCCATATGTATGGAATGTGTATCCCCCCGACAGAGCGGACTTAAGGCACATGAGTATACTTTTCCTACCGAATCCATTGCCTAATTAATTTTGAACACAATGTCTCATCCAATGCTAAACCTATGCCAAACACTACATCCCTATCACTGTCGCAATATTTTTTATAAACCCCTAAAACCCTCAAATAGTATACAATTATAAAGCGGTAAGTACACCCTCTTGTACATATCGAACATCAAGCAATACACCTACATTTTTTAGCACTTCATACACTGATGTCGTGAATACTCAACTCAAATAATATTCATGTTCAATTTGTACGCCCAGACATGGAGTTTGCGACTGCAGTGGAGTCGGCCATTGGAGGTGCTCTGACATCGTATTTTGTCGACAATCACCACGACAGAGTACTATTGGAACAGATCCTGAAGACTGTCGCGTATGTGTCGCATGAGCATACTCATTGTCTTTTTTTTAAGTACCTCTGAGATCACAGGGACAGCTTCAATCTATATACCGCATGTATCTGTTAGATGTGTCTGTACTATTGATCGCATTCCATGTGGATATTATATGCATATTAATGTGATTCCTCAAAAATGGCCACATTCCTTATA